AGCTAGAGCCAGCTTTATGTGGCTCTACACACTGTGAGTGACCCAATACCTGTGACCAATTGATGTCTTGTATATAACAGTGTTACACTATACATGTGTTTTTCTATTATAGGTCTAACAGGAGGTGTCCTACTTATATTAAGTATAATATACTTTCTTATTGCTCTATGTGCACCCCCCTTATATTCTTTTTTCTATCACTTTGTATTTGAGTGCCATTTAGTGATTTTGGGCACTGGGGGTAGCTGCATATTCTCTGGCTCTATAGCGCCAATCCACCATTTCTTGTATTGTTTTTATTTGTTGTTTGGAAATCACTTTGGTGTGGGCTGCTTTTGAAATATGGCCATTTTTGAAAATCGGATTAAATGGCAAGATTTTGTTGATACTAAATTTCAGGAAGAGCCTATGGAAGATCCCGAAAAATATGTTATCAGTGATAATTTAGATGAAATGTGCTCTTTATTAGAGAAGTTACTAGCTAAAGAGCTAAAGATAAAATGGGAGATCTATACGATGGAAAAGTACCTTAAAGATGAGATAACTCCCCGAGGTTTAAGATTTACTAAATATCCCACATTTGATAGAGAAGATAAAAGGTTCATTGATATATGGGAACATGCACTGGAGTCTTTTGCTATAACAATGATGAGGATTGTCACAGAACAAAGAACAAAAAATTTAGAATCTCTTGATAAAATTATTGGAGATATTCGTAAGAAACTTGAACCATTTATCGGTACTAGTGATTTTGAGTCTATCACGGGACAAATAACTGGGAGGTTAAATCAGCTTGAAAATCAAGTTATCCAGAATAAAAAGAAAAAGTATTATCGAGATATGAATGACTATGCTAATAATTGTATTAGAAAAAAACCAAGAACATCTCATCCAATAAAACCTAAGACATATGTACAAAAATCATATAGGGAAAGTCACCATCAAACTCCAAAATTGGCTGTAGAGAGACCCCCTAAAAAGCATTACCAAAGTCAAGATTGGATAGAGGTAAGAAAGAAAAATAAATATGAGAGAGAGAATCAATATAGAGGAAGATTAGTTCAACGAGATTATAGCAAACTGGAAAGATTTCCCACTATTCATAAGAGGGGAGCTCGAAGGGAATCTGATAACCAAAGAAAAATATTTACCCCACAAAGAAGGGAAACTTCTACATATAATCGTTTTGAACCCATTACTAATTTGGGAGCCAATGAAGAGAAATCTTTTTTAGAGAGAGGATGGAGAGAACCGCATACGAGAACACCAATAGCGACCAAAAGAAGACATTTAGATATAGAAGAAGGGGAAATAGAGGAGGGAAGAAACTGGAAAGGCCAAAAAGGAAAGATGATGAGGAGATAAGAATTTTTAATTTATCTAAGAAAGTTTTAAACCCTGCACATATTGAGATTTTAAATAAAGGTCTAAAATTTGCACCTAGTTGTACCTTGGATAAATTCGAGGCATACACAGACATAAATAGGTTTATGAGAAAGCTTTGTTTAAAAAAAAATTTTAATGATAGACCGAGCAATGAAACAGGGTCTAGTATTTCTTCAACTTCAGAATACAAACAGACCAATTTGAAACAAAAATCTAAATTTTATCCCATTCATCTTAAATCTAATTGTATGAAGGTATTTGAAAGAGCTTGTGTTAAAGATATAAAAGAAATTAAATCAAACAAAAGAAATAATCTTACAATTCAAGAAAAGAATGCTATGGAAGATTTTAAAAAAGATACAACCATAGTTATAAAACCGGCAGACAAAGGTGGAGGAATAGCAATTATGGATAGAGATAACTATACTAAAGAAATATATCGTCAACTTAGTGATATAACCACTTACAGAAAACTTGAAAAAAATCCCCCAAATGATATGAAGAAGAAATATGAAAACTATCTTAATCAAGGATTAAATAAGGGTATCCTTTCTCAAAAAGAGTATGCCTTTTTAAATGTTAACCAACCACGAGTACCGGTTATCTACACTCTACCAAAGTTGCACAAAAACATACAGGATCCCCCAGGAAGACCTATTGTCTCCGGGATAGGATCCTTGTTGTCCAACTTATCAAAGTATGTAGATACCCACCTTCAACCTATTGTCAAAACTAATACCTCATATCTCAAAGACTTAATGAGTTTATTACAAATTTTAAATAATTTTAAATGGGAAGATGATTTTATCCTAGAGACTTGTGATGTCACTAGTTTATATACTAGTATTGATCATCTCCTGGGCTGTGAAGCTACTCGTTATTTTTTGGAGATATCTGCACTTTATCCCTTGGACCAAGTTGATTTTATTATGGAGGGAATCTTGTTTATTTTACAGAACAACTTTTTTTGGTTTGAGGGAGAATATTACTTACAATGCAAAGGGACGGCCATGGGGACCAGGTTCGCACCCAGCTATGCAAACCTCTTTATGGCTTATTGGGAAAAGAGGTTTGTTTATTCTATGCATGACTGGTGTGCGAATCTAGTCCTCTATAAAAGATATATTGACGATATCTTTTTTATTTGGAAAGGAGAGGAAACACAGGTTTTAGCTTTTTTAAGTTTTTTAAATGATAATCAATGGAATATCCAACTGACCCAAGAGATCAGTAATAAGAAAATTAATTTTTTAGATTTAGAGATCTATATAGAAAATCACCAAATTAAGACGAAAACTTTTTTTAAGAAAGTGGATGTGAACAGTTACATACATACAAATAGTTGCCACCATCGGCCTTGGTTGGAGAACGTTCCAAGGGGACAGTTTTTAAGACTCAAGAGAAACTGTTCGGATTTGGAATCTTTTAACAACCAGGCCGATATTCTTAAACATCAATTTTTACATCGAGGATATGAGTTAGAACATTTGAATAAAGAAATAGATAAGATAAAAAATTTAGATAGAAGTACCCTTTTAACATATAAACAAGAAACGGAGAGACAGAGAAAGAAGGGGAAACGATACCACTTATTTTTAATTATAGTAAAGACCAAAGACAATTAAAACGAATCCTTAATAAGAATTGGCATATTCTCCAACAAGATCATGAAATTCTGCCTTTTTTAGAAGATAAACCTAAAGTTATATTTAGGGGAGCTAAAAGTTTTTAAAAATATACTTACTAAAAGTTATATAGATATACCGAAAAGTAATTTTTTAGAACTATACAAAGATACCAAAAAAGGATTTTTTCTTTGTGGAGATTGTATGGGCTGTAGGAACCATAAACAAGTTAAAAAGGTAATTAGTTTTAAATCGAGAGCAGGAAATCAGACATATAAGATAGATTCATTCATTTCCTGTCACTCAAAAAATGTGATTTATATGCTCACGTGTCCTTGTGGGCTACAATATGTGGGTAAAACATCGAGATGCCTAAAAACAAGGATACGTGAGCATATTTATAATATTAGGAGGGGTTTTCTGAATCATCATGTATCGTTACATTTTCTAAAATGCCATGGAGGGGACCCCTCTGGACTCCAGTTTTTTGGGATACAAGCAATGGAAGCCCACTGGAGAGGGGGGGACCTACAATCAGCCCTGAGCCGTTGCGAAATGAAGTGGATATTTAACTTGGACACTTTGTCCCCTGGGGGCCTTAATGTTGATTTTGAAATATCAGCATTAATTTAATTTTAATTTTAATTAGTTACATGGCTTTTAGATATATAAAAATATTTTCTAAAATGTTTTATATAAAATAAAATTTATTTTAAAATTTTTTAGATTTTCATTTTAGATTTTTTAAATATTGTTCACAACATTTTTTAATATCTAATTTTTATATATTTTTAGATGTTTTTTGATTGTTCCAGTTAATTAAATGAAATTAATTTATACTATGTTATTTTTTGCAGGATCCCTTCTCTCTATTTTCCCTCTTAATATAGAGATTTATGAATTATACTGTGTGTTATATCTCTATAAGATGAAATGTTCCTCAATACAAATTAAATTTATTAAGCTACCCTCCTCATATTATAAAGATGGTGCAATTGCAATTGGGCTCTTATTTATTTTATTTATATATATGTATATGTGTAAAAACATTGTAAGAAAAAGATCCATTGTAAGATATAAATTGATCTTTCTAGCTGTTTTTGTATGTAAAGGTTTCTTTCCCACTTCAAATATGGCGCTAGATGCCAGGACTATTAACACATGTAAAGGGAATGAAAGGAAGACCGAAAATCCGGAAGTGACGTCATGACGCATGAGCACGTGATCGGACGGAAGGTCACGTGATCGGACAGAAGGTCACGTGACGCGGAAACACGGCGAAACCGGAAGTAAGGACGGACGCCGGCAAAACGGCGCCAGATTTGAAGAGGAGAATATTATTTAAAAGGAAGAAGACCAACACTCACCACACACTTTGATAAAGACCTGGAGGTCGAAACGCGTTAGTGCTGTGTATTTTGTTATGTTATTTTAGCTTTTTCTGTATCCTTTATTTTTACCAGTAAAGTCACTTTTGATTATTGATACTGGATGTCCTGGAAGTTATTAAAGGGCGGAGAAAAGGAGCAGAACTACTTGGAAAGCTGAAAATTGAAAGCCAGAATAAGCTTATTATTCACCTGCCACCTAAGCTAGAGCCAGCTTTATGTGGCTCTACACACTGTGAGTGACCCAATACCTGTGACCAATTGATGTCTTGTATATAACAGTGTTACACTATACATGTGTTTTTCTATTATAGGTCTAACAGGAGGTGTCCTACTTATATTAAGTATAATATACTTTCTTATTGCTCTATGTGCACCCCCCTTGTATTCTTTTTTCTAGGCTCCTAACAGAATTGCTTACGCCGAAACTGGCCAAAGCCATACAAATTGAAACAATATTCAGCGTCCCAAGCTCCGGCGACTGCAACCCGAGACCTTATAGTCCGCTTCCACCAACGAAAGGACAAGGCCGCAATCCAGGCAGCGGTTAAGAACATGGCTCAAGTCACATTCGAAGGACACTCCTTAACATTCTTTGCAGACTTAACTGTCGGCACACTGGCCTGGAGGGGGATGCTAAAGCCCTTCACTACCCTCCTCAGGCAAAGGGACATAAAATATAGATGGCCCCTCGTCCAAGCACTCATAGTCCTGAAAGGAGAGGACAAGCATGTGGTTTACTCTCTACAAGGAGCAGGGGACCTACTGCCCACTTTGGGACTACCCCAGGATGCCATACCTGGACCGGCACTCCGGGTGAACACAAGCCAGCAACACAGATGGGACCCAAAACGGGCCAAAACCTTTGTGCCACGACGACCAAGGCAATCCCCCTCTGAGGCGACAGGCACCTGAGAATCCTCCGGAGACCCTCCGATTGCGGACAGCACTGGCCGAGACTGTATAACATTCAGCCAAAACTCCACGGCTTAATGTTTATTCTTAATGTTTATTATTACTGTTTCTCATCAGTTAACCTTATTATTGTTTTACTGACGCAAGCCATGGCTCCATAATGCGAGCGCACACACCAGTAACTCTCCTCTCCCACTACACTTAGCAAGCGCAGCTCAACATATTCAAAGCTCCTAAATATTAGATATTTACTAAACATATGACATATTATAAAAATATATATTTTTACTGCTCCTCCTTTTTTTCCTAAAAGGATTACTTCTTGTCACTTGATCAGTGAACCAAATGGCATGAAATTGCACCTATCAGTTTACTGAAAAATATGTACAGAATTTCTGCTCAGTTTTGGTTAATCTGAATAACGTTTCCTGAAATGATTGCATGCATGGGCAAAATGTGTTATTATTATTATTTATTATTATTGTATTATTTATATATATATATAGCCATCAGATTCCGTAGCGCTGTACAATGGGTGGACTTACAGACATGTAACTGTAACAAGACAACTGGATGTATAGGAACAGAGAGGTGGAGGGCCCTGCTCAATGAGCTTACATTCTAGAGAAAGTGGGGTATAGTGAGACAAAGGGTAAAAATAGAGGTATTAAGTAGGTTGTTAGAAAAGTATTCACTGAGAGCTTATTAGGTAATTTTTGACAGTTGCAGGAGAGGAGTCGTGGGGAGTGGGGAATAAAAACCTGCTAACAGTTTAATTGATATGCTTTCTTGAAAAAGTGAGTTTTCAAAGGTTTTTTTGAATGAGTGGAGACTGGGTGAAAGTCTTATGGAGAAGGGAAGGGAGTTTCACAGCCCTGGAGAAATCTTAGAGGCGAGCATTTAGGTGGGAGTATGGACAGAGGATAGACATAGGTCTTTGGCAGAGCGTAGGGGCCTCGATGGGAGATACTTGTGTATTAGGGACTTGTAAGCAAGCACCAGAATTTTAAAGTAAGCCCTATATCTAACTGGAAGCCAATGCAGGGACTAACAGCGCAGGGAGGCGTGGGAGGTGCGAGCAGACAGGAAAATCCGCCACGTTCATTATAGATTGCAGTGGTGCAATCTGGGAACACATAAGACCACTGAGAAGGGGATTGCAGTAGTCAAGGCGAGAAAGAACAATGGCATAGACCAGCACCCCAGGGGCATCTGGTGTTAAATAGGGGTGGATGCGAGCTATGCTTTTGAGATGCAAGCAGCAGGATTTGGCAATCGACTGGACACGAGGGGTGAACGAGAGGTCGGAGTTAAAGAGAACACCTAGGCAGCGAGCCTGTGAGGTAGAGGTGATGGTGGTGCCATTGACTTTGAGGGAGACAGCCATGGGAGTAGCAACACTTGAGGGAAGAAAGACCAGAAGTTCTGTTTTGGACAGGTTGAGTTTAAGGAAGTGAGCAGCCATCCAGTTGGAAATCGCAGAGAGGCAGTCAGAGTCACGAGTCAAGATGGGCGTAGAGAGATCAGGAGGGAAAAGGTAGATCTGCGTGTCATCTGCATAGAAATGATAACGGAAGGCAATGTAGCTGATGAGTTTACCAAGGGAGGCAGTATAGATAGAGAACAGTAGGGGACTAAGGACAGAACCTTGGAGGATGCCCACAGAGAGTGGTTGGGGGAAGAGGCAGAGTCAGAGAAAGGAACATTGAAAGAGTGCTGGGAGAGGTAGGAGGAGCACCAGGAGAGAGCAGTATCCCATAGACCAAAATTACAGAGAATGTGAAGAAGCTGTTGATGATCAATAGTGTAAAAAACATCAGAAAGAATAAAGGAAAATTAGGATAGAGTAATGGCCACCAGATTTAGCAGCAATTAAATCGTTGGATACTTTGGTCACAGCCATTTCGACAGAATGACCAGCACGGAATCCAGACTGAAGGGGGTCAATCAGAGAGTTGGATTCGAGAAAGTCAGTCAATCTGGTGTACACAACTCTCTTGAGGATCTTGGAGGCAAATGGCAGTAGCGATATACGGCAATAGTTGGATAAGGAGTTGAGGTCAAGGCAGGGCTTCTTCAAAATCGGGGTTACGGTTGCATGTTTGAAGGGTGAGGGAAATGTGCCAGAGGAAAGGGAGAGATTGAAAATTGTAGTAAGGGGAAGGGCAAGAGAGGGAGACAAGGTGCGGATGAGATACAAGGGAATAGGATCAAGGGAACAGGTGGTGGGGTGGGAGGGCCGGGGCAGAACAGAAACCAGTTCTGTTGTAGCAGTTGCGAATGAGTGTAGAATGGTGGAGGGAGTGGAGTTGGGTGATGTATTGGTAGGGGAAGGCGAGAAATAAGAGAACTCTTCTCTGATTGTAGAGATCTTCTCAGTGAAATGAGATGCAAAGTTTGTGGGGTACAAGGTGGTAGAAGGAGGGGGAGTAAAAGGGCGAATAAAAGCATCAAAAGTGTGAAATAGGTGTTTGGGTTGGTTGGTGTAACATACTCTCTCTCACCTTGTGGTCTCTGCAACCAGCGGCCGTGCGTCTCCATGACTGACACTTGCGGCATGTTAATGGACGCTGCGGATCCACGGCTAATTATACCCCGACGTCCGCCCACATTGTTGACAACGTCAGCGTGCGCGTGACGTCACACGGGCTCCGCACGCGCACGTTTTGGGGTCAAAGATCGATCTCGGCCAATCAGAAAGTTAAAGCATGTATTTAAAATCAAAGTTACCTTTCCTCATTGCCCTGTCGTGTTTTCCCTAGTGGTTGTCCAAGAGTGTGTTCTTGAACGGTTATATTCTGTTTTTTGACTTTGGTATTGACTTCCCTGTATTCTGGTATTCCTGACTTCTGGCTTTCCTTTATCGTTGTGTCCATTTCTGTGTCCCCTGATCTCGGCTAGTATCCTGACTATTCTTTGGTACGTTAGTCCGGTCATTCTAAGGCCCGGTAATACGTTACCTATTAGTCCTCTGCGTGATACAATTCTACGTGCTGGATCAAACAGTAATCCTGACAGTGGGACAGTGTACTTATGAGGATCATTTACTTTTGCAGCGGAAAGAGCCAAGCTGTATGAGTGAAGTATAAATTTATAGTGGAGTAACCAAAACTCCACATGGACGAAACCTGCATTACTAAAATAAAAAATTTTCAGACTAATCGATTTTAATTGAGTTATTGCAGTGCACTAGTCTAGTGTTTATATATTGTGACCGAAAGCAAGAAATTGTGCTGGAGGGAATCTATATACCTCCCCAGATTTTGCAAGGTCCCTACTTTGTGTAATTAGCCCCAGGGAAATGTGTTATGTTAAAATGAATATTGCACTTTAAATATGTGTATATTTGTGCCACTCCACATTTTGGAAGTTGCTTGGAACCTACAGGTGAGAAGTCCAGTTCCAGAGTTTCAATCCTAATTTACCTCACCTGAAAATAATTGTTAATTACAGGTGCTATTAAGTACTCCCCTGCCAAAGGAGGAGAGAGATTGTGTTTGATTTCTGTGAGTGGAAACAGAGAGCTGAAAAACCCTGAAACAGTAAGGTTGTTGTTTATGTTTATGTTGGTAAATGGATAAACCATCCAACCCAGTTAGCTAATTATTTTGTTTAGTTAGTGCTCAGAAGAGCAAGGATTTTGTTTTATATATTTTGTTACAACCTTTTATACCTTACTGTGCATTTATTTTGGAACCACAATAAAAAGAGCAAGTCCTTTTACCTCATCCAGCATGTGAAGTGTCTCTAAAGCCTGAAAAGACTGTGTGTAACACCCTAGTCTCTGCAGAAGGTACCAAGGGAAAGGAGTACTTTTGCCACAATATGTTAATTGACATTAACAGTTTGTAGTTGTTCATTCAATTGAGTATCATCACCACATTTTGAGAACTTGTTTTCTCATAAAAAAAAAAAAAAGGAAAAGCAAAAATAACTTGCTAGGAGGCTTCAGAATCTGGAATTATTACCCCTGAAACAGAAAGACATATCCTAATGAAGCCAGTGCCTCCATTTCCCGATGGTGCAGAGAAATATTGCAACTCCATATTGTTTTATATTGTTTCATTTGTGTGATAGTAACTACATTAAGGAAGCATTGAAAACAATGGGACTCTTGTGATCACTTGCAGTAAATTCACTATGATGTATTACAAAGCAATGGCCAACACTCGCGGTCCCTGCTGAGTTATATTTCACCATGACATGTACATATTTTTAGTCCAAATAGATTTGGGACAATGATATGCAAAATTAAATAAAGCAAAGTAAAATGTTTATACTCTGGAAAAAAAACTCATAACAATGTGTCTTAAATATTAATATTTCTGCATTCACAATATAAAAGTCCTTCACTTAGAAAATACAATTATTAGCACCGTAGAAGGCAGGTTCATGACCTGAAACGGGCACCTCATCTACTTCAGCTCGGAGAGAAATGCTTAGGAGAATAGTAAATACTGTTAGTATTGTTGTTAGAAAAAAAGATCCTACAAGTAACACAAGAAATATCTCTACTGGGAAATTGATTAGAGACACAAACTGGGAGAAAGAAACAACTGCATGACTCATTTCACCGATATCAAAAAGGTAACCTCGTCATATCCAAAGAAAAACAGTAAAGCAATAGTCTTCACGTTATAAGGAGAGCTGCTTATGCTTCATTCCAAAAGGTTAATGTATCCCATTCATCTGATAAATTCAGCAGGTATGAGAGAGCATAAAAGCAAAAAGGAAGATAGAAAAGGGATGCTCTAGAAAATGTAGAGAGTATAATTAATATGAAGCCAAAATAAGTTAGGTGACTTGCATGCTTAAATGTTTTTTTTGTTCGTTTTTTTTTTTTTTAGTTATAATGGGTGAACATCATGTGGAACATAAAAGTAATTCAAATTCAAATCAAATAATTTGTCAATACCATAAAAGCAATTTTGTGTTCTTATTGTCAAATCCTTGGATGAGTCAATCCGAGAAGTGATTACCAAAACTCTAGATCATTAAAC